ATATTTAAAATATATATATATATATATATATATATATCAATAGGGTCAAAATTAGAGAGAATATGTTTGAGAAATAGTGGTTGAACATTTTGGAAAATATTTTAGGGAAGTAATGAGAGAAAAAGATATTTGAGAATCACTTTTTTTATATATAATAATTAAATGATTTACAGGGAAAAAGTATTTAAACAACGACATAGTCAGGAAATTTATAACAACAGACCAATAAGTAAAAAATCAGTAAATTACAATTTAGAACTTAATTTTTATTAAAAATTATGCTAAATTATGGTAATATTTTTCGGTTGAATAACACTTACAAACATAAATTATAATAATGTATATCAAATAGGTGGGTCCCGCTTTTAAACCAGCTTTTTGTATTGAAATTGGTAAAAGAAAAAAGAAGAAGAAAACAAACCCATCAACCTTCAAATTCAATCAGATAAACGTCCTTTTATAGAGAGGGGAAAAACAAAATAAATGTTGATCTGATGTCCTTGAAAGCACCAAAAAAGGGAACCAACGAAACACCCACTTAAAAAAACGCATCTCCTTTTATATGTATGTAAAAGACTAGTTAGGAGTTGCATTGGGAACCAACAATGTGAGATTTTCCATGTTTAACTGCTGATGAAAAAGTTTCCATTCTCTGATTTATTCTCTTTTAAATGGTACTAAGTTACTCGACTCAGGGGAAGTTATTTTCTGTGTGTGCTTCTTTTTAAAAGAAGTTCAAAAGTGTGCTTTTCTTTTCGTTTCAATTTGCTTGAAAGGGCATCTCATAATGTGATAGTGATACGTTCTTCTAGTTTGTTATTTCCCAAGAATGTCTCATCCACTTTTGTTACTCTTGTTTTACCAGTAATGATTTATTCTTTATCATCTAAAGGAAGTTAAAGGTAGAATTGGATTAAAATTTCTAATTCAGGAGATTCTCAACATATTCATTTTTTTTTTTGAAACTAAAGACATCATATGTATTTATTTTGGCATACGTCACCCAGCATGCTATTAAACTTCTTCCCTGACCTATTCTCTTGATTTCCATGGATCCGCCCTGGCCTAAGAATCACTCTACTCCTTCCCGGCATAGCCTTGATTTCACATTATCTCATTGGTGACCTGAAAAATGTGACCTCATTTCAGTTGCTTAATTTTGTTGACTAACAATACTGTTTTTCAAAAGCAAATGAACTTCCTCATTACTTTTTTTTTTACTATCTCATTACTCGCATTTCATAGTTTCTTTTCCATAAAGAGCATACTAGTAAAGGTTATCATGCATTTACCAAAAGATCTCTTATTGAAATACTTCTAGTTATGTGTTTGTTTAAAAAGTCATTAAACATGGTCAAGTTCAATTAATTACGTTAATATGCGGGTGCATATTTGCATCACTGTGACATCCCATGTTCAAACAAAATGGTTGCTAGAGCTGCAAGTTTGGGTTGCACCATACGGGCTGGCCCGAGGCTTGTCACTGTTGGCTCAAGCCCGAACCTCTGAATCATGCAAGGCTGAGGTTTTGAGCCCGAAAGCTTATTCGGGCCGGCCCGGCCCAATCACCCTCTTTTTATTTTTATTTTTATTTTTTCTGAAAATGCCTTATAAAATTCTGTCCCTAGGCCTGTCATGCTTTAGGGCTGGCCTGGCCCGAAATTTCCATTCAGCCGCCGGTCTCGGGCCGGGCAGCCGGAACTTTCACCTGTAATGGTTGCATTTTGCAGAGCAATGAAAAGAATTTGTGAACATGTTTTTATATATGTATATATAAGTATGTATATATGTACGTATTTTCTCTTCTTCACACATCACACGAATTTTTGAAGCGCCTAGAACATCAGAACTTTACACACAATCGTGCGCTGCAGTTTTTGTTCTCAAACTTCTCAAAATCGGGAAATTACACGCAATATTGATATCAATATTAATGTAGAACAAGTTAAGATTTAGAGGAGAAAAGAGGAAGAGAAAGAAATAGGTAGAGAAAGATTTAGAATTTGAGGAAGAGAAGAGAGTATGAGAGAGCTTCTAGGGAGAGAACAAGAATGTTAGGAGATGAAAAGTGTATTATTTCATAACCAAAATGACTTGTTTTCCCATGTTACAAGATGGCGTATTTATAGATAGGCAATTTAGCACAATTATAAGTTGGTCATACTAGATCCTAACTAATGACAACTAAGAATGACTTGGCACAATTGGCCAAGTTGGTTTCTAGTAAAGTAAGCAAGCAAATGACAACTAAGCATGAGTTGGCACAAGTTGCCAAGTTGTCAACTTTCACAAAATAACAAAATAATAACATATAAAAATAATAAAATACTAAATCCTAAGTCTTAATTCTTCCTCCAACGACGTCTAGTGTAGGTTTGTAATTTAGCATTGTGTTCCGTGTCAAATATCCACGGCATATTCAACGATGTTATAAATACACGGTTAAAGATCTTTAATTTTTTTAGTAAGTTAATCATGTAGCAGTTTCATGTTATTGCCTTTAAAGGGTGCCCATGAACTTTTTACTTGTGCAGTTCAAATCTATTCTTCCTGATCGGAGTACACAAGTAGACATATCACTCGCGGGCCCATTTGCTGGTGCTGCACTGTCTTTTTCAATGTTTGCTGTAGGCCTGCTGCTTTCATCTAATCCTGATGCCGCTGGAGACCTGGTGCAGGTTCCAAGCATGCTGTTTCAAGGTTCTATACTTCTTGGACTCATCAGTAGAGCGACCCTTGGTTATGCGTACGTCTCTCGTTTTTCTCCCTGGCTTCATTGACCAGAAGTAATTATTTATGTTTGACGTGGAAGATATGAACACACTAGCATTTTGTTGCCTTTGGAGATTAACTCCGATGATGCCACTTGAGGGAATTGTCAGTCTTATGATACTATAATTTTAAGTTCTTTCACTTCTTAGTCGCATTCAATAGTAGTGAATGATTTGTGTCATTGTCTTCTTTTATTATTATTATTTCTCAAATTTTCCATTACGAACATGCAGAGCCATGCATGCAGGGACTGTTGCGATCCATCCTCTTGTGATTGCTGGCTGGTAATGTACCACCATCCTCAAGTAATTCCTGGGTTATCTTGTTGTCTTTATTGCTAGTTGTGTGATAGGCTTTTGATTCACAACTTCTTGCAGGTGTGGCTTAACAACCACTGCTTTTAATATGCTTCCAGTGGGTTGTCTTGATGGTGGAAGAGCTGTGCAGGTAATCCTTACCAGCCTTCCTTATGCTTCAACAACTAAACTCTATGGTTGAGGCTAAATTATAAATCAATAGCAAAGCTGGAGCTTGGGCATACAATCTTAATATATAGATATGCTTTCCTTTTGGCATCAGGTTTTGAATCCTGGTGGCACTAGTGAATTGACAAGTCACTGAACTGCCCCGTGCCCCCAGAGGGTCACATAAATATGCAATTTGATAATTTGATTTGCGTGTTTAAGAAAGGCTCCTATAGTTTCCTTTTATCTTTATAGGGGGACAGTGTTATGAATTTTGTCTGGGAAAGTTTATGTTGAAGATTACATGTTTGACGAATATATTTGTTACATTTGTTGATTAGTTCTTAATTCTGCTTAGAGAAATCCAGTCAAAACTATTTGATAACATATTTCCAATGTACTTAAACTTGTGTAGCATTTATCGCAGTTAATTACGTGTTTTGCTATTCGCAGGGTGCTTTTGGAAAAGGTGCATTGATTGGATTTGGTTTGACAACTTACACGCTGCTCGGATTGGGAGTGGTAATTTCAACTTTGACAGCTTTCTAAATTACCCTCTTGATCTTTGCTTTTTATCCACTATTACCACATAGCAGAATGTTCATTCTAGACCTCTTTTGCGGTTTTGCCCACTTAACTGCGACCTTATTCCATTTTTTTTTCTTGAGAAAACTGAAAGGGAAAATGAAAACCACCATCTATTTGTATGCTTTATTGTCCTTACTATTCAGTGTTTCTCTTTCCTTTTCTTTCTTTCAAAGCTCGGTGGACCTTTATCGCTTCCATGGGGACTGTATGTGCTCATCTGTCAGGTACATAAACTATAAAAATTATCGTAGCAAATTGCATTGTTCTACCTTAAGGACCCGTTTAGTTTGAGTTTTTAATTTGAGTTGAGATGTGATTTTATGTGAGAACTTTTTACTGAGTAAAAAAGTTAGATGTGACTGTTTCTGAGAGCTTTTTACTGTAGTAAACTCGAATCGGTGAAATGAACGGGGCCTTAAATTTTTCATTTTATTTTTACATAATACACCCGTAACTTTTAATTTTGGCAAATTGTATCTTAAACTATAAAACCAGTTGCATTTGAGGTCCAATAGCTCAAGAGTGTTATCAAATTGTCGGTTTGAGACATGAGATTTGCGCATGAATGGCAAAGCTCGTTAATTAAAACTTGATCACGTCTGAATCTCGAACCACTAATTTGATAACGCCCGCTAGCTATTGGACTTCAATCGGCCATTGATTTGAAAGTTCAGGATGTAATTCACCAAAATTGAAAGTTTGGAATGTATGGAAAAAAAAAAAATCATCGTGCAAAGTGCAAATTACTCAAAATTAATGTGTCTGTGAATTTCATGGTTTTTGAGTTCTCTGATATTTTTCTGAAAAACTATATGGGCAGAGGACACCCGAGAAACCTTGCTTGAATGATGTCACAGAGGTTGGGACATGGAGGAAAACTTTTGTTGCAGTGGCTATTTTCCTTGTTGTGCTGACACTTCTTCCGGTATGGGATGAGCTTGCAGAGGAGCTAGGTATAGGTCTTGTAACCACTTTCTGATGTGTAAAATGTAGATCATACCAAACTCAATTTTGACACTAATTTAATCCGATGGTAAATTGATAGTCAAAGTGAGCAATCTTCAATACGCATTCAACCTTGTAATTATCATTCTTATTCTAATTTCTTCAATAAAATTGGTTTTTTTTTTTTTTTTTTTTTTTTTTTTTTTTTTTTTTTTTTTTTTTTTTTTTTTTTTTTTTTTTCTTTTTTTTCTTTTTTTTGAGTCATTCCTGTATATTTTCGTAAGCATTGGCCACTTCTGATATCTAAAATATTTGTAACCATCCCTATGAATGATATAAGCATTTTACCATTTATCATCCATTTCTCCCCTTATCTTTTAAGCATCATGCTTTCTATTACTACGAAGACAAACTTTTAGCATCTCAGAGATTACGATTCAATGTTTTTTTTCATTTTTTTTCTCTGTCTCTGCATTTCGCCTTTGTTTAATTTTTGAGCAATTTTGCGTGTTGCACATTTATGCATTCAATTGACTCCTTATTCTACAAGATCCTGTTCGAAACGACAAATTCAAATTGAAATTAGGATTATTCATCGTAATCCTGTGTTGGGTGACATCTTTTGATCGGATAAATTATCATGTGACAAAAAATAGTTTGATGTCTAGAATTAAAATAAATGGGTCTTATTTTTTTTTTAATGGAAAATTGCATTTCATTAAAATACTAATAAATAGTCGTCTTGGTACAATGTTAACCTATCAGAGGGACATACACACGTTGAGGCCTGAAATCGGAAAAGCACCTCAGCACACTAACAACGAGCGGGCTGAAAGCTCGACTGGAGAAAACCCCTCTTTTCAACATAAGATGTCGAGCGCTGGAGGAGCATATCGTCAAAACTCATAGAAAGGGGACATACACGACATAGAAAAAATTCTAGCCGGACCAAGACCATCTTATCGGCATTAAACCGAACACTTAAATCTAATAGAAAACAACAAACCAGACAAGAGTCGGGTGGGGAAACCACCAACTTTATTACAAACACAAAAGTTACAAAAAGAAAAAACCTTCGACCACCGCCGGTAGAAACCTCCAATGAAGGGTGTCCAGCCAAATGACCATCGAGGAAGATAACTAGCGAAGAGATATTAGCCACCAAGCGAAAAACTCCCCTGAGAAAAGAGACCGTCCAATCGACTTTCAAGCTCTTAATCGGTTCATATCTGCCCAAACGGAGCCACCACACCGTACATCACCACCACCAACAAGCAGCCCACGATGAGACGAGCCAGATGATCAATTTCATGGCTGGGAGCCCGGCGACACGCCCGGAGGCAGTGCCAGAGCTCCGGCCAACCTCTGCTCTTTAAGCACCTTCTCACTCTAACTCTCTCTCTCTCTCTAGAAAACGTGTCACTGCCTTTAAATGGGTCTTATTCCTTGGAAAGGATTGCCTCGATCTAATTTTATGGACAAAAATCTCTTTGAATTGCATTTTTAGTTGAAATAATGTTTTAAATTATTGATGCCTGATAAAATTCAGAGGGAATCATCACGGGCATCATGTGTGACCTACTTAAGGACAAACCTGTAAAATTAAGCCTACAGGAAAAAGAAAAGGGCCTTTTACGGTAGGTCGGCTTACTAATGTGGTTAGTTTCTTACTGTTGGATCTGGTTAAAATCACATAGATTAAAAAATTATGCAAAAAAGACAGTTTTTGATACAGATTTAACGCTGAAAAATAGAGAACTATCAATAGTTCATTTTTTCAGTCTTACTAGAGAAACTCAAAAAAAAAAAAAAAAAGTAGAAACAAAAAACTTAAAAGATAAATGTTTCCAATCTCTCGTGACGTTGATCACAAGGGTGCTAGGTTGCGGGGAAGGGGGTCGGTATTGGCCAACGTTTATGGGATGTTTGGTACCTAGATTCGTTCCCTGATTCGAATCATGGTTCGTAGTTCGCTACAATATTTTCTCTCACAAAAAATACACGTAAATCGAAAATGGTTCTAATCACATAGTTCTGATCCATGAACCAAACGTCTCCTTAATTAAGTGTTTGTTTTTATGTTGATAAACGATTGATTGTGAGATTACTAGCTTTCTTAAGCAAAGATTGTAAAAATATCCCACCAACTCGAAATATAAGAAGCAAAGCTTGGATGGACAAAGCTCATGGAGTTTCAAGGAATGGAAGACGGATTTAGAGCTTCAAGTATGAAGATCACAAGACTAGCCTACATAGGTTCAAATTGTATTAGATTGGGTTAGATGCGTGGGTATTTATAATAATTTCTTGTTTTTAAATAATTTGGCACGATGCACACACACGTTAGAATTTTAGACTTTACAAAATTCCATGAAAAATGTGTATAAAAGATTCTAAAGTGATTAGAAGAAGTTTTTGACACATAATTTTGTGTTAAATTGTATCAAAATCAAATTATTGAAAGTTTTTGAAGTAAAGAAAATAGACAACGTGTGGTAAACCAGTGTTTTACTTCCAATCAATCGGTGTGATAAATAAAACTGCACTCTGTTGTAGTGTCTACATTTGTTTGGTCATTTGCAACACGCATGAAAACCGAAATAGTGCCGCGGCGCTGCCCTGAATTAATTGAACACATATAAGTGTTAGAGGATATCCTATAATTTACCATTCAAATAATCCAAATATTAAAAAAAAAGAAACTAAAAATAAATGACAAACTACCTAAATAATTACAAAGAAAATCTCCTCTCCTTAAAAAGAGAGAAAGACCCACCCCGCACCCCCAGTTGCTTAAGGGTCCGTTTAGTTCGCTGATTCGAGTTTTTAATTCGAGTTGAGATGTAATTTTATGTGAGAGCCTTTTATTGTAGCAAAAAAGTTAAATGTGATTGTTTGTGAGAACTTTTTACTGTAGCAAAACTTAAATTCTAAACTCGAATCAGCGAAATGAACGGAGCCAGTGTGTTTTTTTTTCTTTTTTTACCCTTTTTCTTTTTTTAAGTTTTCTTTCTCTTTTTTTTTTTCAACCATTTATATAACCATTGTTTTGGCTAGTCATAAATCTAAATCTAAATATTTACAAATCTAAATAAATTAAATACAAATTAGGTAATATCTGATATAAGAATTACGATAATACCGAATACCAGTCGATTATAAAGCCAAAAATTGGGATAAATTAAGGTTATATTTATTTTACTAATTTGAGTTTATAATTCTAGTTTTGTTATAGTATAAAACTCTCAGAAATAGTTACATTTAATTTTTTTATTACAGTAAAAAATTCTCACATAAAATTACATCCAAACTCAAATTAATAAATTAAACGAACCTTAAATTATTTTTGGTGCCATATCGTCCTCGCCTACTCCGCTCCTCAATCCTTCAAAACAAAAGCCCTCCAAAATTAGTACGAAAACAAGATTCAAAACTGGGATTAGTTTCTGACTATCTGTGATGCACCAGCAACCATCGCCCAAAAGATACCGGGCACCCAATAAACGACACAACCAAGAAGAAAACGACAAACCCAGATCCCTCCTCGAGTGCGCAGAGCTAGTCCTTCCATGGCTGACCCCATCAGAGCTCGCCAACATATCCCTCACCTGCAAATCCCTCCACCGTATCTCCAAGTCCATCACCGCCCTCCGCTCCTCTGACGCCTCGAGAGCCTTCGAGAACCTTCCAATCCCATTCCTCAACTCCGTCGACACCCAACCCTACGCCTTCTTCCTCTACACCCCCTCTCAAATCCCATCTTCTTCTTCTTTCGTTTCTCCTCAACGCCAGCCTTGGGGCTGGAGCTCATCCCATGATGTTCAACCCAATTGTGGGGTCGAAACGGTGCGTTTAACGGACGGGTCCGCCGAGAATGCTTGGGGAGGGTGTGCGTGTGGAGATTGTTGTGTGGATAATGAGTGTCCGTGTTCGAGGTTTGATGGGTTGGAGGATGTGGTGGTGAGGGAGTGCGGTCCGAGTTGCGGGTGTGGATCGGAATGTGGGAATCGGTCGACTCAGAGAGGGGTTTCGGTGAAGCTGAAGATCGTTAGGGATTCCAACAAAGGCTGGTCTTTGTGCGCTGATGACTTTATTCCCACAGGCCGATTCGTTTGTGAGTACGCAGGTTTGTTTAATCAAATGTTTGCATTTGTTTTCGGTGATGATGGTTTTGTTTACAGTGTGCTGTTATTTGTGAATGTAGAAGTCGCTTTAGCTGATGAAACTTATGATTGATAAAATTTGGATACAGTTTGAGTTTGAGATGCTAAATTTGCGGTTTGTGTGTATAAATCATTAGAGAGAAAAAAAAAAAAAACCCAAAACATAATCCGATCAATAACTAACTTATCATCAAGCTTATCTTGAATAAGTACTCTTATTCGTCACCAGCCAAATTGCCCAAATTGTAGCTAACACTGCACGCTATTTGCTATTGCACAAACTTTGAGCTCTGTCTGAATAAGTAGATTTACAGAGTTTCTATTTTTATTGCTACTTGTATGACACTGGGATTTTTCGAGTTTTGACTTTGAGATCGTATTGCTTACATATAAAAAAGTAAAAACATCTATGATAAATGACTCCGCTCTTTTTTTTTTTCTTTTTCTTTTTCCCTCTCTCCATATATATATATATATAATATGTATATTACGCTGTAATAAATATAGTTAAAAGTTAATTATCTGTTTTTAATGTATAGCTGATTTAGGTGCTTCTGACTATGAAAGCTATAGAGTTAGAAGCAACAAACAAATGCATGTGTTTTATGTGCTGGCCTAAAACTGTAGCAAGCTTGTTTGGTAGGGTTGTGGCCTGTGGGTTTTACTAACGTGAAATTCTTTGTTCACTGAAGTGTTGAGATTTATATTTACAAACAATCAATTTCAAATGACTAATTGCAATTTGGACGTAGTTGTTTCAGCTGTTCAATTGTGTTGACTGGCCCAGCAGTCTATTTTAACTGATTATGGTCTTAATCTTACATTAGTGTCAATTGGTGGAGCCTGTTATTCTGTACTAGCAGAAATCGTCAATTTAGAATCTGATATAGTCATTTGCAACTATCAAAAGGAAGTAAATATGATTGTTAGGTTATAGTTGGTGGAGCTATTTGCTCATCTTCACGTCTAGAATTGAAGTAAGGTTCTTCTACTATAATTGCTAATATGCTTTTGGGTGGCTGGCTACTCATGATGCAAGGATTTCATGCTTGTGTGTTTTTTGCGATGCGCTAACCTTAGTTCTCATATGTGCATGCACATCGTCAATGTTGTTACAAATCATATTATGTGGATATCTGATAGCAGGGAAAACAAATATATGGATTGTTTCATATTTTATGTTATTGTTGATATATATATATATATGTATGTATGTATGTATGTATGTATGTATGTATGTATGTATATATATATTTACACACTTTTTCATAGACCAGAGATCCACCAAACCTACCTAGTGGGGTTGAGTTAGAAAATCAATTGATTTTTATGAAAAGCAACAGGAGAGAAAGACAAGAAAAAATTGTGGATAAAAAGAAGAATACAGGTAGGAGGAAAGTTTCAGTAAACTGATAATCTCAATAATCAAATACTAAAATGTTCAAACATAATCAAATCTATCGAGGGAAAAATGAAAAAAAAAAAAGAAAAGTATGATCAAGACTATTTCTAGATATGCAGTTTAAATTGATAAGAACTTGATCACAAATAATTAAGATAATTTCTTAGTTATATAAAAAACAAAGATAATTCATAGGTTATAAAGTTGGATGTAAAAGATAAGTCGTCAATTATGCAAACAAAGTAAGAAAATTCCAGGCTAAATTACTACATCTATGTCTAGCAAATGGACATTGTCCCCTTGGACGTCGTCACAAATACAACTGGATCTTCTATACCTTTCTTCTCTTGTTGCTCATCATTCCAGTTTTACGTACCCTCAGTACACAGTTTAAATTTTTCTCATTTTGTGACCATATCGTCTTGGAAATGCCTTCTCGTTGCTTTCTTGCTTCATCATGATATTCATATCTCCTGCTGGTGTACATTCTTGAGTCTATTACATAAAATTGTAGACAACCATTTACATGCTGCATTTTTATTTTTCTTTTCTCGTAAGTTGATATTGATGTAGGGAGATTTAGGCATCAGTGGTCGTTTCTTATATTTTCATATGTCGTTTATTTTATCTTTCTAATTTAGCTTAGTTTTATTATTATTATGTCATTTTCTTGGTTGTTTTTTGATTATCGTTTCTTGGTGAGCTATAAATAGCCACTTAACTATTGTATTAAGGGGACTTGATAATTGATATTGAATACAAAGCTTGAGTGTTTTCTCTCCAATTTGGGGATTTTCTCCTTGTGGGGTTCTCTTTAGGTAGACTTGGGATTACATGTCCCGTCTTCTGTCCGGGTTAGGCCGGTAAAATTCCGTTCTATCCATTCCGCTGCATCAAATATTAGCATGAACTCCACTGCTGGTTTCTTGATGTTGTTTGTCCGTATGTCAATTATCAAGCTGCAAAATTGACAAGCAAAGTTTTTAAAAATTTGTTCAATTTGAATTTTCTTTGGATAGGTGAGCTCTTGACAACCAATGAAGCAAGAAGGCGGCAACAAAAGTACGACGATCTTGCCTTAGGCGGTTGCTTTTCCTCCGCACTTTTGGTTGTGAGGGAGCATCTTCCATCTAGAAAAGCATGTTTAAGACTGAATATTGATGCCACAAGAGTTGGGAATGTGGCAAGATTCATCAATCATTCGTGTGATGGTGGTAATCTCTCCACAGTATTGGTCAGAAGCTCGGGTGCATTGCTTCCTCGCCTCTGCTTCTTTGCTTCCAAGGACATTAAAGAAGGTGAAGAGCTTACTTTTAGCTACGGTGGAGTTAGGCTACGGTCCAAGGGTTCACGATGCTGTTGTGGTAGCTCTTCTTGTTTTGGATGGTTACCTTCAGAACAAACTTAGTAGCTGCTACATACTTCTTGTTGCAGAATAAGGTATGTCTGACAAAGAGCTTTGAATTCTGCCTTTCTACTTTAGGAAATGGCTGGGAAAAAACAGGGAAGCGATATGATGATATGCATTGAGCTATAAGCTGTAAGATAACAGATTTTGCAATATAGAGAAATTTGTTTATATAGAACAATTAATCTATAATCAGAAAGATATCTCCTATCTGCAAGTTTGGCGAGGAGAATAACCATTATATGTCCGGGAAATGTCAACCATTTTTTTTACCTGTTATCAGGATAATCTAGTGTGTAAATTGACAACACGTGGTTTTTAGTAGGAAAAAGGCGATAATACGTGTGATTTTACTACTCTCACATTTATAATTCTTGATAATGAAATTATAAATACCACATAAGAGAAGGCCAAGTTAATTCGCTCAACATTGCACGTGCATAGATCTCTTGCCTCTTGGCTGCTTATTAGATCCGTTGTTGCTAAGGTGACTAAATTAAGGCCTGTGGCAGAGGCCCCGACTTTGAGCTCTGGTCTCATATTATGTTTTCATGGGATAACAGATGGACATGTCTTTCTTCACCTGACCTTTATAAAGATTTATGCCTTTCTGTAAAAGGTTATTATATCTCTAACCCTGCCTTCTTCGCCGGTCTTTTTTCTTTTCCTGTAATTGATGTACCTTTAGGTTTAACTAGTTCTGTGTTTTAGTTGCCAGTCACCGATGACCGGAGTCACTTGTCATCGGTGGCTAGAGTCGCTCGGTTGATGACCGCCTGTCATTTTTTCTGAGTCAGTTGTTAAAGTGAGTAAGTGCCATTGGTCACCCTCCATCGTCAATTGCTGGAGTTGGTGGTCGCCGTCATGCATTTACCTATGCTAATTGATAGACTTGGTAAATGACTGTGCGCCACAATATGATACATGTTAAATCAATGGTCACTTAGTGGCAATTACTCATCAACTATGGCTAGAGTCACTCAGATTTTGCCACAGCTATTGGAAGATTATTAATTTTTATTCTTTTATTTTTTGCGAAAAATCAAAATTTTCGAGCCTCTGGACACCGAGGAAAGGAGAGACCTCTTGCAGGCGCAACAAGGCTGATAGAAATCGACAAGCGTAAAGTAGTAACATCAACAAAGGAGAGAGAGAGGGGGAGCCAGTGAAAGTAGAGAAAAATCTTTGGGGAATATTAAAAGTTTCTCTGAAATTAGGGATGGTTTGGTCTAAAAACCCATGAAATTTCAAATAGAAAGGGGCACATAAACAAAGTAACAATGAAGGCTACAAATCAATGGGGTAATCAAGGAGGATATTATTCCTTATTTTTTTATTTTTTTTCATTTCTCTTTTTCATTATTTGGAATACAATTTCTTATTTGAAACTTTTGGTTCTCTCTAGCTTTATTAATTTCTTGCTCCACGTGCATCTTTCATTTTCTTTTCTTTCGGGCCTCTCTCTCTCAGTGTAACTTATGAATTGATCCTGCATATATTTATTTCCCTTCTTTCCATTTTATACTTGCAAAAAAATAAAAATAATAAAACAACCTTTGGCATTGTTTTCCTCTAGAGTTATTTGTACATTTGTCCCTAAATTGTAGGGGTTTGGCAACTTTCCCATGAAATTCTAGTTTTGACCATTTGCCACTCCAACTTGCGACACAGTTACAACATGCCCAATTTTGATATGATTGTTTTAGATGTTGGCAAAAAAACATCCCAATTTAAATTGTAACACAAATCTCTTAATTTTTCAACTCTCAACCCCTTAAATCCAATAAAATATCATAGCAAGATTGATAAATGAAGTACGTTACAACTGTTTTGCAGGTTGGAAGGATAAATTGACAAATTCGAAACATAGGGGAAGGTTGCCTGATCCATACAAATTCAGGGAGCAATATCTCAACTCTTTTTTTTTTTTGTTTTTTTTTTTTATCAAATTGAATTTTCTGCGGAAGGGACCAGCTCATGTTAACCGGCCAAAGATCTTCATGGAAGTAACGTCTGCAATAAGCCTCTACCATAGCAATGACATTTTTCAAAAAGATGTTAAGGAAATCTGTAGAATAACAGCAAGGATATCGATTGTAATTCTTATTACATGTATGTGTGTGTATATTTCCTGAATTCAACATCTGCATCAGCAGCGGTGAAGCATCTCATTGGGGAAAACACGAGGAATACGATCCTCTTCCTCATCGTCATCCTCTTCTTGGGACGCCCGTGGCAGTGCCCGAATAGGATCCAAACTCTGAGACGAAGGCGCGGTGTCGGTGGTGCCGATGTCAAAGTTGGTGGTGAAGCTGCTGATATTGCTGATGAGATTGTTGGAGGCAGACGAGTTGTTGGAGTAGGCTGGCTGCAGCACTCCAACATTATGCTGCTGCAGTTGCTGCTGTTGCTGTGAGCTCTGAAACACATTTGCAAACGCAAACCTGCTGTTCACCAGCTGATTCTGCACCATCGCCAGCTCCGTTTGCAGCGATGTCACCTGAACAAACATAAAAACAAAACCAAAAAAAAAAAAAAAAAAAGAAGAGAAAAAAAAAGAAAAAAAAAAAAAAAAAAAAAGAAGAGAAAAAAAAAGAAAAAGAAAAGAAACCATGCACATACGTATGAGAAATAACAGTTTTACAAATTAGCTAGCTTATAACTTACTGGTTCTATATATGTGCGCGCGCATTGATAGATAGACATATATTTACAGGCACCTAAAAAATATAAGAATGCTAAAAGATACTGATATAATAAAAAATAATATTTATAAGATAGAACTTACAGATACTTTTATTTAGATGTGGCCAAGCATTTTTCGAAAAAATAATAGTACAGTAATCACCGGTACATTTGACCAATGAAACTTGCGAAAAATTCTACAAGTACAGTTGCTTGGGCACTTTCATTTCTTGTGATGACTTGCTGCATTGGAGTCGGATACTGTAACTCACAGGGAAAATATGCATGCAGAGTGGATAATGTTATTTAAAAAAAAAATTAATTTTTACATTTATTTTTAGAAATAGTAAAACAAATCAGTGCAAATGAAAATAATAAGTATAGATATTCCTTTATTTTAAGCATGTTTAGTTTGCTGATTTAAGTTTTTAATTTGAGTTGAGATATAACTTTATGTAAGCTTTTTACTGTAGCAAAAAGTTATATGTAACTATTTCTGAGAGTTTTTTACTGTAACAAAACTCAAATCGGTGAAATGAAGGGACCTCTATTTATAAATGTATATGTTTTTATCTAAAAGTTAAACCTGTTGTTGTAAAGCGAGTATGGTGGAGACACAGCCATACACCGGGTCAGCCAATCTCGCTTGAGCCTCATAAGATATGGTAACAACGGCGTCGTGTCTCCGGTTAACCGGAATGTGCAACAAGAGCTTCGACACATTGCTTGCACCAAACACTTTGTGAACGGCCGCGAACCGAGCTGATCCCTGGTCGGAGCCAAAATGTGGGGCGAAGATGCAGCCACTTATGCACTTCCTTCTCAAGAACTTGCAGGCCCCGCACGGAACTGGCGGCGCCACTGAAGCTGCTTCCGGCACCCCCGGCGCGCCGCCCCCGCTGCCGCTGTTGCGGGATCATCTACAGCCGATGGTGTTGCAGCGGTGGTGCGCTTTGTTGGGCCCTTTCGCCGGCTTTCTGAAGCACGATCAGTATGGTCTCCATGTGGTTTAGACATTCGTACAAGGAAATTAAGGTGCGGAGAAAAAAGAGTGTGTACGTACAAAAGAGAGGTTGTGAGATTCGGAGTTATATATATGAAGATGGAAAGAACATGTTTGTTGGATTGTATTAGAATATTGCATTGTAAAATATTATAATAATATAATATTTAGTATGAATATAGTATTATATAAAATATGAATGATAAATTAGTATAGTTTATGTCATATTATTAAATATGGTTTATTTAGGGCGTATTATATTGTATTATTTTATAATAGATTAATAATTCATATTAGAGTTGGGTATTACTAGAAGTCGGTGTCAAGTTGACACAGGATTATGTCAGAGCATATAATTATTGAAAAATTTATAAAGCACAATGCAAATTTTATAAAAATTATATTTTGACGCTAAAACTTTTGTAAAATTATATTTTTACACAAACTTTTATAAAATTACACTTTGACCCTAAAATTTTTATAAAATTTTATTTTAACCGAGAACTTTTGAAAATTGCATTTTCACTCCAAAATTATTAAAATTTTATATTTGACCCCTCATACAATACGTTATGACACTAAACTCTGTATTGTAGTATAATAATATAATATAGTACAATACAATAGACACTTTATACAATACAATACAAGTTACCAAACATGACTAAAGTATACACGTTAGTCTTGTGAAAAGGTTGGCAAGGTGAATGTGGTAATCTTTTCTTTGAGAGAGAAGAGATAGAGATGGAGAGAGAGACACGTTATGGGTATGGTTGGTGAAATGGGAAAAATGAGAAATGGGAAGAGAGTCTGGTGTGAGGTGCACGTGCAAAGGGAGTGTAATACAAGGTTGTTGTCATATTATATTAGGCTCAGCTAATAAAGCGTAAATGGTTTTTTTTTTTTTTTTTAATTTCATTTTATTCTAATGTTTTGTTAGTTGAAAGGGAAAATTAAAAGGTTTATGATCGTCGTATGTATGGATACAGCAGCTGATGGAAAGCACAAGTTTTGTGCTGTCCATGGCGTGTGGGGTGGTGATATATGTGGGAATTAACGTCAAGTGCATGGGAATCGTGTATCTTGCAAGGAAGCAGACAAGAAGACTTGCTGTGCTTCAATATTTATTTTAATTAAAAAAAGGAGGGAGAGAGAGAGAGTGTGAAGATTTTGGTCTGAGGTTTAATATGAAAGTTCAAAGTCACAAAATATATTTGCATTTATCCTTCAACTTGAAAACTATTTCTGACTTTGTAATTGAACTTTAAGAACTCTTATTTTACCAATTGAGTAATCAATTATATTTAATCCTTATGTTATAAAACGGGTGAAAGAATGAGATTAACTGAGGTCATCCGGTTTTTTCGTTTGTTTTTATGAAAATTCTAAATGAATTACTTAAGTGAGACTAATTCAAAATTCATAGTATAAAGTAAGAGTTTTTATAATTTAGAGACCAACTAGGAATGATCGCCGTACAACTTAAAGAAACCATTGAGATTTGAGATTAATTAGTCGCATCATTTTATAATAAATTTTTTTTTCTATACATGTCATGTTATTATTGGTTTGCACACTTCTTTAGCATAGTCTCCCGCGTAAAATTTTAATACCAACGGTTGCTGAAAATTAGTGCTTTTGGTTCTTAAAAAAAAATAGTGCTTTTGGAAGGAAGATTTAAGATTGATCGGTTCATTGTGGTTTAAGTAGGGCTGGCAATCTGAGTAGGGACAGGACGATATGACTCGCAACCCGCATAAAGTTAGCGGGTTTGGGTTTACTATAAATTGGTTTGAGTCATAATCGGGTTGACACGATTAACATGATTAATAAATGGGTTGGATTATGGTTGACCTCCTAATACGAAGTGACACGATTAACTATATGTGTCATCTGCAATCTAATGATATGTGATATAATATGAAAATTTATATGACATATTAAATACAAATAATGTGAATTTTAATATATTTAGGTAAAATTCATTTATTTTTCTTAAATGAAAAGATAAATTGACCAATAAAAATATTAAACATATCTTGACTGTGTTAAATAAGTCATTATTATATTAATTATTTATTCAATATATTAATTTAAACGGGTTATACGGGTTGACATGACTAACATGATTAATAAATGCGTCGTGTTTGAGTTGACATTTTTAACACGTTTAATAAATAAGTTATGTTTAGATTGATATTTTTTAACACGATTAATAAACGGATTGACACGAACACGACTCACTAACACAAATTACCACCCTTAGGTTCAAGTCCAACTTTGTATATTGGATTTGTTTGGTTATGCAGTAAGGAGTCAGCAGAGCTGCCAGTGCATGGGTTTCAATAGTTTGGGGCCAAAGTAGGATTATACTTATAGTTTGGGGGCTGAATTGGAATTTTGTTCTAGATCTTACTTTCCTGCCCAAACTCACGTTCTTTTACGTTTACATTTGTATCGCGAGCATGAGATTTCTGTTTATGAAAATTCCAAAATTAAGCAAAAAAAATAAAAAAATAAAAAAAAATAAAAAGGACATATTTCCCATGTTGGAATAATTATATGAAAGTTGGCGGTTTTCGAGATGATTAAACATTGAGTAGATGTTATTTAGAAAAAATCTGTAGGACATCACAAATGTTGTTGACATGCAAGAACCATCCAACACATAATTGAAGCGTGTAAAACAACATGGTCCCCACCATTCTTTTTATTTTTTAATAAAAAAAATGGAGAAAGTGTTGGACCTCCTCATGCTTTTGTTAAACCCACCAACTCTCTCGGCGGGTCCATCAAGTCATTGACAAAAAAAAAAAAAAAAGAACAATTGTTACTTTCCAATTTGCAATCATATCCATTTTGGAGCCATACGCCTTGCTCTCATTGACACAAGAATAAGTAAAATAACTTCCGTTCTCATGTTATTTTTTAATATTTTTATTTTAGTTTATTATAATAATAAAAATTATCTTTAAATCTCTACGCATTAAAAGACTCATAATTTATCAGATACATTAAAATCTAAATTATTCAAACCTGAACAATTCACTTTTAAACGGGTTTAATCTTATATGACAGTCTGCCATACATAATTATTCACATATAAACTTAACGTTGAATTAAGAATCCAAATAAAGACGACACTAAACGCATGAAGAGTCCTTGCTAACATCTATCCAAATTTCAACAATCGCATTCTTGATACTCTAAAAGACCATTTGCAGATTGTTGGAGTAGACCAAGATCCTAACATCAATTGCAGCAACCCATTCATTATCAGATGTCATATCGAGTCCAGAAACCATGGTTTAGATCTGGCATTGATAGTCTACACATCCACTGGCGCATTGCTGATTTCTGTAGACTCTTATCAAGTCGCAACATGCACTCATGTGTTAGAACGATCCTAATACCGGCTCAAAGATTCACACAAGAATGTTTTTAAAGAAAGAACACAGAAAGATTTTTATCGAGGTTCGGATTCAACGAATCCTACATCCCCGTTGGGCTCACTTGCGAGAAACCCTTCCACTAACAGAGAATCGATTACACCCTCAAGCCTCACCTCACTCAGAGATTACAAAGAAGAAACAAACCCAGATCTAGAAACTGTATAGCAGAGATTTCACTACACCCGTGGATCTAAGGGGATATACTCAGGTAGTAAATCACCCTCTTACTCCAATCTTTCTCAGTACATAATCATACCCAAATCTCTCAATGTTCACAGCTTCTCTCTCTTGTTTCTCTCTCTAGAAACTCTCTCTGAAAACCCTAGAGGACACTTATGATCTCGATTCATCTCACCAGAATGGAGGACAGCTATACATATTCTGGAATCCTCCACCGACTGTAGCTCCTGTCACGTGTCACGTATTGAGAGGTCCAACTGAATGCGACATTGCGTTTTGGTAAGTTCCTGAATAGCCAAACGCATGTTGTTTTCTCAGGAATTACTCTTTACAACATTCCACCTTAATTTCTAGAAAATGACAGCATCCTTCAACCCTGAGTTTCTCACAAAGTTCATTGCCCTGACTTGATATAATCAAGTCTTGCCAATGCCCAGCAAGTCCAGGCACTTCTGGAACTTGCTTGCAGTGACAACCTTAATAGCCATATCTGATGGATTTTTTTCTGTGCTGATCTTCTCAAGTTCTATTGACCCTTCTTCAACATTTTCCCTTATGAAGTGGTGCCGTACATCAATGTGCTTTGTCTTTTCGTGATATACTGGATTCTTGCAGAGGTGTATTACGGATTGGCTGTCTGAATGAATTATAGCAGCTTCTTTCAATATTTTCAGCTCATTTAACAGACCCTGAAGCCATATAGCTTCTTTAAATCCTTTTGCTCCAGCTATATACTCTGCCTCGGTGCTTGATAAGGCAACTACGGATTGTAGTTGAGACTTCCAGCTAATGCAATTTCTACTCAGTGTTATTGCATAGGTTGAAGTAGACCTTCTTCTATCCAGATCCCCTGCAAAATCAAAATCTACAAAGCCTTCCAAGTTCAAAGGGTTAGAACTTTGTTTATAAATCAAACCATAATTTAATGTACTATTGACATACTTCAAAATCCATTTTAGTGCTGTCCAATGTTCTTGTCCAGACATTTATTTGCACAAAACAGGTCTTGTGCAAATCATGGCGCACATTAATGATCCTACAGCACTAGAATAGGGTATCTTAGCCATTTTAACCTTTTCTTCTTCTGTTTCAGGGGACTGTTTTGCTGAAAGTTTAAAATGGCCAGCCAATGGTACTTTAACAGGTTTAGATTGATGCATAGATAATTTTTGGATAACTTTTCTTAAATACTCTTCCTAAGACAGATACAGAAGTTTCTGTTTTCGGTCTCTTTTAATATCAATTCCCAAAATTCTCTTTGCATAACCTAAATCCTTCATATCAAATTCAACACTTAACATTTTCTTAGCCTCATCAATTTTTGTTAAATTCTTACTGGCAATCATCATATCATCAACATAAAGTAGAAGATATACTGCATT